AAAAAAAAAGTTTTTATTGAGTTCTTGAAATGACTACCGCATGTTTTCCTTCTGATTGGAAAGGTTTTTAACCCACCATTCATAATCTGACCCAAAGGGAAAATCAAGCAAAACTGCAGGCATTCTGTAAGCGTGCCAGTCACCGGGTACAGCAGCCCGCTTCTGTAGAGGGCCTGGCACTGAATAAAGTCTCGGGTTTTCAATAGATGTCTGCTGAGTGTTCTGGTCGCTTCACGGCGACGAGCCCCCACCATCCCTCGGGTCGGCGGGCCGGGTCACAGGGAGAGGTGGTCTCTCAGTCTGCCCATGATGGCGCCCATCCTGTCGGCCGGGACCAGCATCACGGTGCGCAGCGGCTTCATCGGAACGTCGTCGAAAGACCACCTGCCCCCCAGGCGGGTGTCACTCTCCTCCAGCACCGAGTAGCTGAACTTGAGGGTGGCCTCCTAACCGAAAGACAGCCAGGGTCAACAACTCGGCTGACCAAGAGACCACAGGATTCCAGGTGGTGGAGGTGGCACGAGCAGAGCTTCAAGTAGAACACACTCAGGTGGACTCGGCTGTGCAAAGTGCCCCAGGCAGGCTCTGCCAGAAACCTGAGGGTCTCAGGGCCACGAGAGTCCCACCGAGGGGCTCATTTTCCATGCCCCCTGTGATGGACAAGTGAAGTCCAGACTGTTCAATCTAGCAAGTCTCCCTCTCCCAGCCGCTTCCAGCACCAGGCCCAGGAGGTGTGCCCAGCCACACCAACAGCTGGGTCCTGCCTGGCTGAGCAGCTCAGGGACACACCTCCATCGCAGGCTTCACTCCCTGGGAATGAAGGGCAGAGCTGGCCCTGCCCACCAGGGGCTTCATCCAGCCCACAAAACACAGACCCTCAGACACGTAGGCAGCCAGGGCCCCGGGGCTCAGGTTACACGGTGCTTTCGCGGAGGGCTAGCATGCCCAGTGGGGCAAATGACCCCTGCCAGCAGGGGGCGGGGTGGGCGAGTGACACCATGAATCCACTTCCACTCGCAACTCACAGGTGGGGTCCTCCCTGGGCCCTGTTCCCATTCCAATGAGGGGGTGGGGAGTGGGCAAGTGTTTGTTTGAGCACCTGCCATGTGCCCAACCCCATGAGCTAATCGCTGCCAGGGCCACACTCGAGGGACCGGACAGAGTGGGCGGGCACAACTTACACTTCCCACACTGAGGAACGACAGCCCCACCTCGTAGAAAAACTCCTCCTCTGCGTTGGCGAACAGGAGCTCCGCCTGCCCCTGGCTGCTCCTCTCCTTGGCCCGGGCTGTGCCCGCCTCCACAAACGTCTTGCTGATGAGAAGGTAGAAGGAGCACTTCCCGCATGGCTGATTCGTCTTGTGGGCCTCCGCCAATTCTTTCCTGCAAGGCAGACACGGCCCGTGCTGGGCGAGTGGCCTGGCCACCCGTGGGTCCTGCTGCCACGCCACGTGGGCTCCGAGCCCTGTGTGGGGGCCCCACCAGGGGCTTCATGGCGGCTTCGGCAATCCAACAGTTGTGAGAATCCAGGCTTTCAGAAGCAACGAGCATTCAAGCAACACAGCATGCGGCCACCGCCAGGGCCAGGAGCAAAGGACACCAACAGTCCCAGTCGGTCTGAACCCAATCCGGCAGAACCGAACCAGGACCGGCTCGGAAGCAGCCTGCGGTGGGTGGCCCTGTGCACCGCACACCGTGGACAGCCGTGCACACTCCGAGCGGCCTGAAGCAACAGCGCCGGTACACAAAG